AGTTTGTAAAATAATGGTTAAACATTATTATTTACTTTCTTTTTATAGGTTTTATTGTAATTTCCATATATGCATTACGTTGTGTTAACCTGTTCTGTTTGTTTATTATTGTTTTTGTGTTGCGTTAATTTGTATTGTTTGTGTTTTAGTTTGTTTCGTGCCATTTGCATTTATTAAAATGTGGTGTGGCATATTTGGATGCAAGAAAAACCCTTTAAATAAAAACTCGGGCTGGATGCTCCCGTGGACGAGTTTTGGTTCGTGCCGCGCATGACGTCACTTGATGAGTAGTTGCCGTGCGAATACACGAATAATATTATCAAAGAAAATAGAGAAATATCTGGACATAGTGCGTTTTAATTAAACTTAATATTAAAGAAAGTGTTATAATATGGATAATAGATTCTTTCAGTCCTTGATAACATTTAGGAGTGTAGTTTAAGAGTTGGTGTTTTAAATTAAACTCTCACTGTCCAGAAAATGTTTAGAGGAAACAGAAGCGGTCTTAACGTTAATATTGTCTATTATTTTTATGGCTTTTAACCAGTGTTTGCAAAAATCAAAGTTTTTCGGGAATCGATGAAATTTGTTTTTATTTAAAGGGTTTTCCTTGGACTGGTTGTCCAAATTGCATACAAATATGCCACACCGCATTTTAATAAATGCAAATGACACGACACAAACTAAAACACAAACAAAACAAGTTTCAACGCAACACAAAAACAATAATAAACAAACAGAACAGGTTAACACAACGCAATAACAATAATTTGAACAATGAAAAGTAATTCGAACTTCACTAAACGCAAAAACAACAAGTTAAAAAAAAATAGAGCAAGTTAACATCCAACAGCATCGCAAAAACAAGAATTTTAGTAGCAGATAATTAAAGATTTAAAAATACTCAACAAGTGACGTATTTAAGCCCCGCCCAACATGCGCACATACACTTACCTAAGGTGTATGTAGCAATTGTACCTTTTCATAACAACGGTCATCAATTATATTTGGACACGTCCTCAAGATCACATTGTAGTACTTCCTTTCTCACTGAAACTGTTTGTTCAAAAAAATTGTTATTTGTGCCTTTTGGAGACAACATTCGTTTTACCTTTTTAAAGATAAAGTCAAAATAACAGGCCCACCCTAGGCCCCCCGGGACAGATGGCTAGTTACGCCAATGTTGAGTCCTATTTTTGGCATTCTGGGCCTAAAACGGCCTAAAATGTAGGATTTTATTGCCTATTTATGTGTCCTAATTTCCAATTTTTAACGGCCTAAAATCCTATTTTAGGCGGTTGAGGCCTATTTTTGGCACTTTAGGCCTAAAACAGCCTAAAATGTAGGTTTTTATTGCCTATTTAAGTCTCCTAATTTCCAATTTTTAACTGCCTAAAATCCGGTCTTTGATAATAATTAATCAAATTCTACTGAATGAAATAGTCAAATTAGTAGATTTAAATTTAAAAAAAGTTTTGACCCAGTCGGGGATCTGTCACATGTCAAGCTTGTCAAGCTGTTGTCATAACCCATTCAGCTATCAGCCGCTCTTATAAAAATCAATTTTATTTGTCAATAAATATTGTTCATAATATTTTAAAGTTGAATATATTATTTGTGTTGCTGTTTTGAGCTAAACTGTTTGCATCTATTTGTTTTATGGGTCATTTAACCATGGAGGTATATGCTTTTAATTTAAATAATACTGTTAGCCGCAAACGATTAAAGAACTTAGTTACTTTTAACAGAAATAGTAAATCTTAAATTAGTCAAACTTTAACTATTTACGTAATAAAAAATAACTATTAAAAGTGAAAACCACTATTTTATTAGTAAAAAATGCTGGTACTAATTCAAATAGTAGAATTTTGACTATTTCATTTTTAGAGAGCATACTCAAAAAGCAGAAACAACAAAATCTGGAATCGCCGAACATGCATGGAAGGAACACCATAATCAGGGGCGTAGCTACCGCGGTATCAGCCGTATCAATGATAGGGCCCCGTATTAGCTTCGACATGCGTAAGCAAAAAACATATTACCCACATGTTAAAAAAATTGAGGCATGAAATTAAATAAATAAATAAATAATATTATTATTTAATTGTTTATACTTTGATTTTTTAAATTAAAATTTTCCTGAATACCCTTCTGTTCCAACGAGGCCGTGAACTCATACGAATTGTTTCTACCCTCACCTTTCCGCTATGCGTTATCTGTGGTGCAGTCTGCGCATATTGTTCTGTGCAAATTAGAAATAATTAATAGCTTTACAATTATTTTAAATTTTTGATATATATATATATATATTTTTTCTTAAATTGTTTAATGAACCTTTCAACTACATTAATTTAGTTTCTAAATAAACCTTTTTTTCTTGTGCTGTATTAACAATCAGATTTGTCTGCCTTCCAGTCCATTTTGTTGTATTATTATTAAAATGAAATGTATTTTTTTTTACAACAAATAAATTATTATTATTATTATTATTATATATATATTATTTATTAAATTATAAAAAATTGGTAAATGCAAAAAAATTATACCCTAAAAAATTTTTTGGTTTGCCCAAAATGAACTTTGGTCGTGACACCCAAAAATTTTTTTTCCAGCAGCTTTTCCCGTATAAGGGCCCCTACCAGATTTTTGATACGGGGCCCCCTCGAGGCTAGCTACGCCACTGACCATAATATAAAGTGGCAAGAGGTAGGCGTAATCAATAAGGAAGAAATATGGTTTAAAAAACCGGCTAAATCCATTTTATTCAGTTTTTGTTTTTTTTTTTGATTTAGCATCTTTGGGTTCATTTCTATCGACAACCAAGATAATTCTGTTTAAATCAGACTATATCCAGGTTAAAATCACATTTAAAGCAAAACCGGCCAAATCCACGTTTTTATAGCAAACCCAGCTATATCCAATAAATAATAATGATGATGAGCATGTGGCTTGGATATTTCGATACTACTATAGTATACTAAAATATGTTCTGTTTTTTCATATTGTGACTAAATTTATTTTATTAATATTTTTGAATGATAAAGGTTTTTTCACATTTTATTCGTAGGTTTTTGAGCAAAACCGGCTATATACAAAACATTTTTTGAAATTTTGGCCTTAATATAAAGTTTTTGAAAACGAAAGTATGTCTTATAAATCAAGTACCACAAAGCCCACAAAACTCAAGTTTGCTTTTTTTTATCTGTAAAGGCCAGGAAACCGAGAGTTTTTGCCATTTTCCCAACATTTTATTAAAGTGGATATAGCCGGTTTTTGCTCCTCAAATAATCTCGTAGTTTTTAAATTTGTCATTATCACATGAAGACGATTGCAGATACTTAGCAATTGAAACAGGACAAACGTATTTTAAATTTTTGGAGGTCCCGATCTACCAAGTGATTAAATTTGGATTGGCAGAAGAGGACCGATAGTCAACAGAACACAAAATTTAGAAGACTTAAAAAACCAAATTCGTGAAGAATGTCGCTTCTTTAGTGCGGAATTCATCAAAAACGTTCTCAAAGAACTTTCGGATAGGCTTGCTTACTGTCAAGAGCAACTCAAACATTTAATTGGTTAATGTAAGCATAATTTTCATGAAGATTAAAAATATTTTTTTGGAAATTAAAACTTTTAAATCACGATCTTTTAAATTTATTAATACTCAAAACTATCATCCCAAAAGGTATACAATGTATACTATACATAAGCATATTGCTGAATTAAGAATTTAATAATCTATTTGAATGTGCAAAAAAAAGAGGATACAATTTAAAAAAACGGCCTATGACGTCATAGCTTCTCCAAAAATGGCGGCAAATATGAAAATTTTATAACAAAATGTGCGGAATTAAAAAGCAAAATCGACGTGTTTTGGGGAAAAAAGGCACATTTTTTAATGTATTTGTTCCATACTTTTGCGGGTCACTGTATACGAGGTGTGTTCAGAAAAAAGCGGGAATTGTTAAAGGTTAGACGTGTTTTAAGAGCTCTGCGAATTTTCGTTCGTTAAAAGAAATGGATCAAAGAATTTGTATCCAATTTTGCTTAAAAAATGAAATAAATTCTGTGAAATGTTAACAAAGGTGTATAGTGAGTCTGCTATAAGTAGAACAAGAGTTTACAAGTGGTATAAGAGTTTCCAAGATGGCCGTGAAGACGTTGAAGATGACGAACTCCCGAACGCACAAGCACATTAACAACCGATAAAAACATGGAAAAAGAGGAAGAAATGGTTATAAACCTTTAGAGAAGTCGCTGATGATGTTGGTATATCGATTGGCTCATCCCATGAAATTTTTTCGGATGTTTTTGGTATGAAACGCGTGGCAGCAAAATTTGTTCTAAAATTGTTAAATTTTGAACAAAATTTTTGGCCAAAAACAATACTATAATGTTGCCCCAGCCTCCATATTCGCCAGACATATCTCTGTCTGACTTTTTCCTATTCCCAAAAATAAAGACAACCTTGAAGGGCAGTCGTTTTGCAAGCATAGATGACATTAAAAGCGCATCGCTGAAAGTACTAAAGGCTATCCCAAAGATCGAGTTTTAGAAGTGTTTCGAGTATTGGAAGAAGAGCTGGCACATGTGCATGATATCCAATGGGGACTATTTTGAAGGCGAGAACATTAATGTAGACGAATAAATAAATTTGTTTCAAAAAACGAAAATTCCCGATATTTTCTGAACACACCTCGTATATAACAAAATTATCAGGAACATCGAAGTAGAAATCATTAGATCCAGTCATATTGCGCTTATCACTAAAAGTCAAAAGTCAAAACACAAATATTAATAAATAGCCGAATCAATTTGTCAATTTTTATCCTTATCACTGCATACGGTTTCATAATAATAATATTATTGTTTATAGGAAATAAAGTACACAAAAGTTTTAAACCTAAATTCCTAATTGTTCAAAATCATAGCGTTCGTAGATATCGATTACTCGAAGTAGACATGCGCATTTCATTTCATTTGTAAAGTTTACATCTGCACGTGTATGCCAACTTTTCAAGTGTTTACAATGCAATGTTTGAAAATTGTTGTATTAATAATAGGAGGATGGTGTGCCATTGTTTCTGGCAGAGGAGTAAATGGGGGAATGAGTTGTGCCGGTTAGTAAATGTTTTTGTTATACTATTTAGACCCAGAAATTAGTTATTTTTGACAATGTAGCTATTTAAACCAGTTTAAACACATCAATAATATTTTTTTTTATATTTTTAGTGTGCACCGTGCTCATGGGTGTCGCAATGCAAGTTGCAGAAATAAAAGAAGAAAGCATAGCTAATGCTACAAAAAGACTGTGTACCTTTCTTCCTGGTAATGCTAAAAAAGAATGCTTGTCTTTGGTTGAGGATGTGGAACCTTTATTTTTGTAAGTTCACAATTAATTTTTTAAAGGGTACGTTATCGAAAACCTGACGTAATAATTAAATTCTGAATAGTATGTTATATGGGTGATTCTACAAAAGTTGGACAACTTGATGTCATCAGTCAATAGAGTAGGTATTTTAATATTTTTTGTAAATATTTTAGTAGTATATTACAAAAGATCCAGGTTTTTTTAACTTGTAAACCCAATTTTAATGTATTTTTTCAAAAGCACGTTTGTAGAAAAACATAATAAATATTCAAAACATCAGTACCTTGGCGTGTCACAACTCCTGAATCAAATATTTGAGATTTTATTTTAAAATATTCAATTCATCTTAAATTTTTCAATTTCACTACAAACTATAAAACATTAAATAATGTATTTTTTATCATAGATTCGAATAATAGCAATTTTTAAAAATTGATAATCTTTGTACTTACTTTTACCCGTCAGTTCTGTGTCCAATGTTAAAATTCAAAATTCCTGCGAAATATTGAAGTTTAAACGTCAAGTCCTCGTTTTAACTTAAGTGTTGGTAAAAAATTACCTACAGAGCCCGCCCTTTGCACGACAATCATCTTCAAAACAATGAAAGCGGCAAATTTGTGGTGAATGCACGTATAGTTCCAGGCAAAATTTCAGTACTGTCGTGTGTAGTTATTTTCTTACGTATATATATTTCATTGTAATTTATATAAGGCTATATGTGATTTGTTGATAAGTAGCATCCAATAATAAAAAATATCATTAAAATACTTAATTCCGAATTATAATCTCAAATTTGTATCCCATTCATCAGTACCTTGTCGTCAGTTCCATGTTCGATGTTTCGGTTATCTTTTTTTCGCAAACTTCAATTTAAATTTTGCTTGCGCAGAACTTCTCATTATAAACTCATATAAATTTGGTGTGGGTCTCATATCTAATAATTGAGAAGTCGGTATACCCAAAATCCACCAGCCGCCACTGATATGTGGTATTATTTGATTTTAAGATATTTAATGTATAATATGCTCAAAGTTGCAATAAATCTTATATTTACTTGTATACTCGTCACTTCCCTTGCATTCAAATTTAGAAAACACAGATATTTCTGAAATTGTTTGAAAAAGTAACAAAATACTGTTTAATTTTCTCCGAAAACTATATAAACAAAATGAAGTCAAAAGTTGCCCAAGTTTTGTAGAATCACCCATATGTTTAAAATATTTGTAGACCCGCTTTCTAAAAATGAATTAGTCAAAAATGACCAATTATTACAGTTATTAGTGGCTGCTTTGGTATCCCAAAATTTAACAGCCAATTCTTATGTAAAATTGTTCCCTGAATCCGAAAATACCGTCAAAAATTATGAAAGTAGAGCAGTATTTGAGATAAAGTCAATTCCATATTAAATGGAAAATTGACTACATCTGAAAAACTGTGCTACTTTTTTAACTTTTGACGCCTTTTTCGGATTCAGGAGAATATTTTACATGGAAATTGACTGCTAAATGTCCGTGATACAAATTGCTATTGACTAGAATTATTAGTGGATGCTTTTTCTCCATGACAATTAGTCATTTTTGACTAATTTTTAGATAGCGTGTTATCAAAATTAATGCTGTCCATTTTTAGAAATATTTCCAAAAAGGCTACTCCAGATTTACTATGTATAGCATATGGTACTTGTAAAGTGGACCCTGGTCAACCCTTATGTCACTTATTTCCTTTACCATTTATGGAGGAAGAATTTCTAGAAACTGCTAAAAAAGTATAATTTATAAATGTTCCGCTTTTGCAAGATAGATGCTGAAATAATTAGGTATCAGCAAATTTCATCAGCGTTGTATTTTTTTAGATGGCAATCTCTGCAAACTTAGTTGAGAAAATAGACGTTTGTACTTTTTCCGTGATAAAAGACATATGCAGGATATTAAATAATTCATATACTTCCTTGAAACCAGCACAAGATCATGATGAAGATGGTTTTAGCATCATCTCATCTGCCAGGTAACTGCATTTTATCTGAATTTATCCAAACATTGGTTTAAACCTTAGAGTAACATTTACGAGGTGGGTTCAGAAAATATCGGGAGTTTTCGTTTTTTGAAACAAATATTTATTTATTCGTCTACATTCATATTGTCGCCTTCAAAACAGTCCCCATTGGATATTATGCACATGTGCCAGCTCTTCTTCCAATACTAGAAACACTTCTAAAACTCGATCTTTGGGATAGCCTTTAGTTCTTACAGCGATGCGCTTTTAATGTCATCTATGCTTGCAAAACGACGGCCCGAGGTTCTCTTTATTTTTGGGAATAGGAAAAAGTCAGACAGAGGCATGTCTGGCGAATATGGAGGCTGGGGCATCATTACAGTATTGTTTTTGGCCAAAATTTTTTTTCAAAATTTAACAATTTTAGAACAAATTTTGCAGCCACGCGTTTCAAAACCCAAAACATTCGAAAAAATTTCATGGGATGAGCCAATTGATATACCAACATCATCAGCGACTTCTGAATGGTTTATAACCATTTCTTCCACTTTTTTCATGTTTTTATCGGTTGTTTATGTGCTTGTGCGTTTGGGGCGTTCGTCATCTTCAACGTCTTCACGGCCATCTTGGAAACTCTTATACCACTTGTAAACTCTTTTTAACTTTTTAAGCAAAATTGGATACAAATTCTTTGATCCATTTCTTTTAACGAACGAAAAATCGCCGAGCTCATGAAAGACGTCTAACCTTAGCGGCTGCCACAGACAAAGTAAACAATGAAAACAGCTAAAGTTTTTATCATACTTCAGGGGCATGTATACCAACATAATAAAGACAATTTTATGACAACCGGCAATTTAACAATTACCGTTATTTTCAAAACACACCTCGTATGAATAAGTTATATTGATCTTCATAGAGAATATTACAAAAAACAATACCAAAGATTTAATAAATTAAGTTTTTTTTTACCATTAAAATGTAAATAGCAAACATTTCATATTGATTTGGAAGTAATTTGCAGAGGTTTTGACTGGAAAGGCAGAGATTGTAACGACAATAATCCCGATATATATCCTGGAAGGCTTCCATATAAAATGGACGTAGGTGAAGATTGTGAGTGTTCTTTTATACAGGGTTATTCACAAGTATTGTCGCAATTGAAAACCTTTTATTTTTATTACAGCCAATTGCAATGGGATATATGGCATGGATACAAAAACAAACACTCCTTGGGAAGAAGTACTTTGTAAAGGATCCAAACCGAGCGGTCTGATATATATAGGTGATTCCATAGGTGCTCATTTCCACATGCCGCAAATTTGGATAAATCCCATTGAGTTTACTTGGGTAAAAAACATATATCAGAAAACCTTTTTTGCTTTTTAAAACCATTGTTGGTTGTAGCCTAGCCTTAACGCCAGTGATGTTATTTTAGATGAGCTGGACTGGCCGCAATTCGGATTTGCCACTGGATACAAAAATATATCCGACAATATTTTAATCAAGGTCAGTCTTTTCTTGTTCTGATAATTTCGTTTGGTGACTTTGTCGTAGGCTACACTGTTTAAAATATCTGTGGTGTAAAGAGTAATCCTAAAATGGTGTCAAAATCCAACACCAAGTGGTGTTAATATTAACACCATGAATTATGGTTGAAAATGTTATAAACAGCAAACGCCAAAACGGCGTTGAAAAAAAGGAATAGTTCATTTAACTATATTAATTTAGTTGACCCATAAGTATTTATTTAAATCAACTGTGGGAAGGTAAATAAGGTAAATAAAGATTAGTTTGACGGTACTAAACCAGATAGTTATTTTATTTTTTTTAAATTGGTCAAATTAACCCAGAAAACTTTAGTGAAACCAACCCGCTGTATGGTTCAGTTTACTAAATATGTTGTTTGTAAAATAAGAGTTACTTCAACCTAAAGCACTCTGTTAAAACGATTAAAACAATTTGCCGTCACTCCTGGTTGCATAGTGTGTACCGATCGCGGCAAAGGCGGAGTGGATCAGGTGATGTTCTTAAATCTCGCCTCTGTTGACTTACATGAAGAGTATATAAGCTCAGGTAGTCCTTTGCTTTGGTGTGACGCTACAAGTTGTTCGATACTAAAGAGACCTTAAATAGGTGGAAACAGCTGTCAATACTTGAAGTATTTTAAGTTGATGGAACGCACTAAAAACATTATCTCTAGCGAGTTAAAGGTTCAATTTTCTGGAATAATACCACTGGTAATATACTAGTAATGCGTCAAGGAACTTCCTGTTTCCTTTTTTTCTGTGTAGTATGATTTAATTTGACCAAAAACACATAATATTTAACACTGAAAAGGAGTTCAATTTACACCAGGTAAAATTTATTTTAATACTGTGTGAAAGTTAAATTTACACTATTTTAGTATTTGAATTTACACTGGACCAACGAACCATATTTAACATCATTTTGGTTTGTACCGATATAGACCATGTATGGTGTTAATTTGGTGTTAAAATGTAAAATTTTGAACAGTGTAGTCTAAACAGCAAAATATAGTTCCTTTTGGCTCTATTAAAGCCCTCACCTTATTTTGTCATGGTGCTACATTCACTAAAACTATTTAAAGGTCTTTTAACTCTGAACCCTTAATGGTCTTACCTGCAGTTCTATAAATTCTATTTGAAGAAATACAATCTTAAAATCTAAAACTTCTTGTTTTTGATTTAGGGCGCAGTGGATTCATTATACCTCCGTTTAAAAAAGAGAAACCGCTGCAACCATAGAGATTATCAAAATCTTTCGCAAAACGGTGCTTCAAGCTTCGAAGGGATCGAACATGCCAAGTCTGTCAATAGAAATCAAACAGTTGACAGTCCTGCAATTGTCATCTACGCCATGCAAGGCAATGACGTCTGCAACAAGTAAATAAATATACAGGATGTCCCGATTATTGCGCACCAAGAAGTTCCCTGATAGCACAGTTTATTCTAAGAATGTTTTTTAAACCTTCCAGTGAGAATATTCTTAGGATCATGCTATATTTCTTCTAAACAACATGCTTAAAAGAAATATAGCATAATCCTAAGAATATTCTCACTGTCTTATAGGCAGGTTCTTAGAAGGTGCAAAGTTTAGTGGTAAAAATTAATCCACTCTAAACATATGCTTAGAATGTTGAGAAAGTAATTGCTATAGAAAGTTCATTTAGGAATATTCCTGGAACATTCTGTTAAGCATATTCAGTTCAGTTAGGTACCTATATAATAGTAAAATATACCATAATCTACGTATAAAGGTACCTATACTTAGTATTAAATACTAAGTAAAGAACACAACCCAAAATATTTTTTATAGTTATTTGTCAAATTAAAACAATATTCGATAACAAAAATACTTTTACTATAGGTATCCGGCTTTTACATAAAATCTTCTATCCACTTAAATACAATGAAAAATGTTTTTTTATGAAGAACTATTTGGTTTTTTCTTTTATGAAGAATTATTTTATAAGGAAATATTTTGTTTTTTTATATTTTATAATATGTTAAAAATAAATATTTATTAATTTGTATATCGATTTTTTATATCTGAATTAACATTTTTATGTATAATAATCCTAACTATCTTCATCAACATCAATCTAATCTGACTTATCCCACAAAATTTTCCAATTTTACTTTTTATGAAATAATGTTATACAACTTATGGTTTAGAGGTCAAATTGTTTATTTAATATTTTTAAATAAATATATAATAATATGTCGCAAATTTTTTTTAAGGGGACGACAAATACATTTCACTGTCATATTATGACAGTGAGGCCTATTTGCCGCCTCCTGAAGAATTTTACGAATGTAGAATCCAACATATTAGAACGTGGGTATCTGACATATTTGGAAATATTCTCAAAAGCTTCCTAGAAGCTCCATAAGAAACCTTCTAAGAACATTCCAAAAACGTATTTTTAAAATGTTTTTAGAATGCTTTTTAGGAAGGTTTTAAGAAGCTTCTAAGAATCTAATTGCATCATTAAAAGGGTATCTATTGAATGTTTTAAAAGTCCCTAAGAACATTCTTAGCAATAAGGGAAGGTTCTAAGAATAATCCATTATTCCGGGTCATATCTTCTTAGAAGATTCTTAGAACCAAATTTTGCTATCAGGGTTCCTCCTGAATCATTTTTTTCATCAGGATGGTAATGGTGCGCTATTTTCCGGGACCCTGTCAACACACACTTTATAACTTTATTGAATTAGTTTTCAAGATACCATCGCACATATGACACCCCCAAAGGTATTCGAGGATAATATCATGAAAACATTGGACATTCTAAATGGCAAACTTCCAAGGAATAGCCACGTCCTTCTCATGGGTTTAGTGAACGGGAAAAAAACTTTTTCGCAGATGGCTGAGAGGCTTCACCCCATTGGAGTTTTACATAATAATGTGCACTACAAAAATGTATACGATTGGTTTAACTGCATGCAGATTGGTCCATGCACAGGCTGGTTAAACTCAAATGAAACCGTTAGAAGTATTACGAGTGAGGTAAAGATACACGTGTAACTTGTAAGGCCTATTTGCAAATTATTATTTTTCAGAAAGCTGGAGAACTGACGGATGTGTTGAAAAGGATTGTGAAAAATCAAAATTTTGAGTATTTTAACCTACACTTTGTTGAAAATCCAATAAACCAGTTAATTTTCGATGACATGATAAACATTCCAGACTTGCTGGAAGCCGTTGACAGCTTACATCCAAATCAGGTATAAGTCAATATAACATACATCTGAACATGAACATATACCTGTATGCTTCTCTTGCCAAATCCTGACTTCAAAGAAGATTTAGTCGTTTCAGCAAGTTGTCAATTTTACTAGGCTGAAAACTTAAAAAGCAGATACACACATTCTTTTGCCTCACTGTGCGAAATCTGATGAATTATCTATATATTTTAACAAAATAAATAATAAAAATTTAAAATCGAATAAAATCTGTAATATTTGGATTTTTTAAATAAAATTTTTAATTTGTCGATAAATTATAGTAGATAATAAATTGCACCACTTTAATTTGAATTATCTCAAATAGGGGGGCCTGGACGCGGGTGAGGCGACAGGAAAAACTAACTTTTTTTCGCAAACTTCAATTTAAATTCTGTTTGCGCCGAATTTGTTTATTTAATGTCTTTATAAACTATTATAAATTTGGTGTGGGTCCCATGTCTAATAAGTGAGATATTGGTATACATAAAATCCACCAGCCGCCACTGGAAGTAGGTATACCAAGAAAACTAAGAAAATATATAACAGGACCTATACTTAAATATTTTAAAATACATGTAAAAAACCTTCAGAACCTTTATGCATTTGGCCTATTATATATATGGGTCATTTTCAAGAAACACCCGCTTTCAGGAAAATGATCAAGATCAAAATTTTTTTTTGCTTAAATTGACTTTTGGTTGGATTTTGTTTTGTTTACTTACATTTAAGACAGACAGTGCACTTTTTAATTTTTTTACGTTTTTTTCAGAAAAATGTGTTTAGCTTTATTATAATATGTCTCCACTGTGTTACCAATTTGAAATCCATAATTTAATTCAATAAAAAAAGTTGTTATAAAAATAATTTGAAATAAAATTTACTTAGTTCACAAACTTTTGACTCCAATTTTATTTTTTATTAAAAATTGTATGCCTTTTTTAAATATTTATGTTAGTTAAGTTACTTTTTAAAAGACACCATTCCGATTCTTTGTTAAAAAAACAATACCATTAATATTTTCTTTTAGTTACTGTATTAGTGAGTTAAACTCTAATTTATAAACAGGTATTACCAAGTGATAGTAAAATCATTTTAAGGAATTTTTTTAACAAAAACTAAAAAAAGTAACGAAATAGACATTGGTATCACAACGGACTGGGGTACACAAAGGACTTAATCAGATAACGTAAAAAAGAAACTATAAAGGGTGGTACGATTTTAGAGTAATGCATAAACAGAATCCCTTGTAGTGGTGCTCACTTTTAGAATAACAACTTAGATTTCTAAATTGTAGACACCCTTTTTTTTACTATAAGCTGGTGAAGGTCCCTTTTAGTACTTGAATATTGTGTGGAATTTTCCCTTGGATGTAATCTATATCATGAGTTGTAGTCACAAATAATTTTAAATTGGTTTATCATAAACTACTTTTAATAAAAGCGGCGGTAAATATCCACTTTGTTGTCGAAAAATTCTATTGCGTTACCCTAAATTCCATTGCGTTACCATAAGGTAACATAATGGACTCGGTAGGCAGTGGACAAAGTTTTGTGAAACCCTATTTAAAAAATAATAATACATTATAATCATTAATTAATCATTAATTACTCTCAATGAGCTTTAGTGCCCTAAAATAAACATAAACATGAAAAATAGTATTTTTTCTTACCTTATTTTTATTATTTTTTTACAATCAATTATTACATTCGCGTTACCCGAACCTGTTTCAACCGATATCTTCAAATTTAAAAAAAGTAGATTAAAATTAATTATTTTATATATAAATTGTTTACTGTATTAACTAAGGATGTTATGGATTGCTATAAAGCAACATAAAGTTCTGGTTATTAATAATATTGAATTCAATATTAAAAAAAAAACATGTATGTAAGTTTTATAAAACGCTAATGGGACATGCGAAAATGTGTGTTTCACAAGTTTCAAAATTAAAAAAAAATTATTTTGAAATAACTAAACAAACATTTTCTGAAAGAGTTTACTAAAAGCTTGTTAGGCTTTCACTTGGTTGTTAAATCAATAAGATCCGATAATTTTTAACAAAGTTATTGGAATTCAAACTTACGGCATTTGGCCTATTATATATATTAACCAATTTGGTGCATTAAAATAATTTTACAAAAAATTCGGATTTTAGATAAATTTATTTACATTCTTTACAAAAAAATTAAATAAAACCAATAAAACCAAACAAACAGTGTCAGATTCCTTAATTTCCTTTATGCAACGAGTAAGAGGCAGACGAAGGTATTTTTTTAATTATTTTTATTTTTTTTCAGAGAGCACAACCATTGTTGGCTACAAAACTGTGGAAGCAAATGCTAAACGATTTACCTAAAAATGTTTTAGGGCCAACGAATGTATTTAATGCAAAAATAAAAAAATTGTTTGGGGACCAAGGGGGTTACTAATTTAATGAATGATATAACAAAAATAATAAATTATGTATTTTTCGACAATAAATCACAATATACTACAAAAAATGTTTTTATTTTGACATTTCGAATTTCTTTTTTCTAGAACTACTGTTAAGGTTTCCTTTCGTATATAAAATATCCTTTTTTTCTTTGCGTTCTTTCATTTTAGAAACATTTTCTATTCATTTTCATAGGTCAATCGAAATTTGAATGGTAATAACTCTGACGCCTCAGCCACAATATCAGATGGTAATATTTCTCATTTATTTCGTTTAGTCTTTTCTGCTTTCAACAATCATAAATGATACCAAAAAAAGTGTTTACACCACAATGACCACCAAAGGGACTAAAGCAAAAGCTTTCCTAGTTTAAAATATCTTCAAATAATTTCTAAATTTTTCTCCATATTTGGGCCATACAAAAAAACATCGTTTTACGTACGACGATAATTTTCTTGTATTCGTTTATGAATAATATCAATTTCTTATCAAACCTGAATCCAGTAATACAAACAAAATTTTACTTCATTAATATTAATCAAGATATGCAATTTTCACAGTGTAAACAATTATATATAAGTGGTCCTATTTATTGTGGGGTCACCTTCATTTATGCTCAGTGCATCATGATTGTCGTGTTACTTATATTTGTTGTAACTCTGCTGTATTTTCTGCATAAACGTACTTTCGAGTATTGGAAGAAAAGGAATGTACCCGGACCAAAGCCTACATTCTTGGTGGGGCATATAGGAGAAAGCCTTTTTGGAAAAAAGTCCCTAGGGGATTGCTTTAGTGATATATACAAGTAAGATATGGTCCTTTACAACTAAAGGAAAAAATATTTGGAAATTTGGAAAGAATAAAAAATAACATTTATAATACGATTAGAGCCATATCTCCTGAACAAATTAAAAGTCAATTCGGGGGCACACACAATGTAGAAAGCAATAAATCAATCAGAGCAGGGCATTCTCCTCAGCACACTAGATGTGATGGAGAACGCCGTGCTGATAGGTTTATTGCTTTCTATAGAAATAATTTTCCATAAAAAATTGTTATATCTTATTAAATATTAATTTTTTCAGAGAATATGAGGGTTACCCATTTATAGGAGTATACAAAATGATGACCCCATGTTTGCTTGTAAGGGATCCAGAATTCCTTAAATGCATTTACGTGAAAAATTTCAAAAGTTTCATGAACAATGATTTTTTTATCGATGAAAAAGTGGACCCAGTCATGGGTAAAAACCCATTCTTTTCAAGGGACAATATCTGGAAAGAAAGAAGAGCTTTACTAACACCGAACTTTACCACTAGCAAGGTTATTATTAATCTGACACTGATGAGCTAGACATAATTGTCTCAAGAAAGTAATCTTAAATTGAATTGATAGGTATAGGTAATATAAATTTTTAGATGAAAACAGTATTTCCCCTTTTGGAAAATGTAAGTCAAAAAGCTGTGAGCTATATAAACAAACAAATTGATTGTGGAGAAAATTGCCTGGAGTCCAAAAATCTTTGTACGAAAATAACTCTAGAAAATGTGGCAAGTTGTGCTTTTGGCCTGGAGGCAAATTGTTTTAATGATCCCAACTGCGACTTTCAAGATATCGCAAACAAATTTATGTCACCCGATAAGTGGCAAGCTTTTAAGTTAATTATAGCAACGGTTATACCGCCTCTTATGAACATGTTATCTATACGGTAAGTCATATTAAATATGTTAAATATGCATATATTTGCTGGAACCATCAAACTTTAAAAGTGTATTGGTTATAAGATGAATACCTTTTTTATTAGATTCGTCACAAAAGAGGTGACTGATAGACTGAGAAAAATTGTATTTGATACTGTGGACTACAGAGAAAAGAATAACATAGAAAGACCAGATTTTTTGCAATCCATGATGCAACTAAAAGACTCAACGAAGGATTTCGATCCTGATGACATGGTGGCCCATGCAGCATCATTTTTTGGAGATGGCTATGAAACCAGTTCTATTGTGATGAGTTTTCTCCTTTTCGAAATTGCCAAACATCCAGAAGTACAGGATAAACTAAGACAAGAAATCAACGATGCCATGGATGGAAATGGCGGGAAATTGCCGTATGATGTTTTAATGGAAATGGAATATCTAGATGCCTGTCTTAATGGTAACAACTCTAGCTGTCTTAAAAATGTCAACATAAGCTAGATGTGTTTTTTTTGCAGAAACTCAAAGAAAAAATCCAATTATACCAGCCCTCTACAAACTTTGCACAGAAAAATTTTCTTACAAACCGACTACCACGTCCGAGTTTAAAGACATCGATGTTACTGTTGATGTTGATACTGTCATGGTTATTCCAGTTCAAGGTCTATTTCTCGACCCAAAATATTTTGATGAACCCCATAAATTTAATCCTGCGCGTTTTTTGAAAGAAAATAAAAAGTATGATAGATCGCAAGGCGTTTTTAGACCATTCGGTGATGGACCAAGAGTTTGTATAGGTAAATTCTTTATAACGCTTTTTTAAAAAGTCATTTTTTTAAATTAATAATAAAATGCCCTTGTAATAATATTTTTATATTTGTAGGTCAAAAATTCGGTTTGATACAAATTAAAGCTGCTGTGGCACATATTATTCATACATTTTCCATAAGTGTCAACTCAAAAACAAAGGAACCCCTAGAAATTGATCCCTGGTACGTGATGCTTTCACCAAAAGGAGGATTGTGGTTAGATTTTCATAAAATCAAATAAAGAACAGTGACAAAAAATAAACTAACACGAGTTATTCCTAAATTGTTTTTAATTTTACATCAATTTATTTTTAACCCACTTTTTTTGGAAATAGGTTTAACTTTTTCTCATTTTAACAAATAATTTTTTTGTTTTTGGTAGCTATTTTACGGACTTTTTAATTCATTGATACGATATTTTTTTTTTCGTATTTGGGAAGTATAATAAATGCTTTGTAAATTTTATAAAAAACAACAGCAAGAATCTGGCAACGCCGTATTTCGACAACGATAGCCAGAACGTTTTTATCATCGACATATTAATATGTTCAGGTTTTTATAATTAACAATTTTGTTTGTTTGCACGGAGGGAAAAGAATATTTTTAACAAACGTTGCAATTGTTTGAGCCTGATTGCTTTGAATCAAAAAAATTAAATTAATTAATTCAAAATTAGTGCTTTTGCTTAGAATGGGTGAACTGCTTTGCTAGAAATGAATGATTCGTTTAGGCTGCTGTGTTTGCTTGGAATATTATTAAGTTCTATGCAAAGTTTGTACTGTACTATTTGTTAATAATATTAGGTTTTTTACGTTTGAATTAAATTTAGGTGGGTTTTCCACTAAAATTTATTAATGAATAATTTCTTTAGAAATGCAGGTACGTTTAATGGAAATGTACTTTATTGGTAACAAGCAGATACCAATTTTTCCTAAAGTTACTTACCAAGAAATTGAAAATTAGTAAGTTTGAGGCAAACTTACATCGATTCATACAAAATCGACTATACTGGTAGCAAGCAATTACCAATTTATCAGAAAAGTATTCAACAAAGAATTCAAAATCAGCAAATTTGACACAAATCTACAAGCTTTTCGTTCAATAGCAGTTTTCCGGAAGCTCCAAAGTGATGGTTTTTTACCATTAAACCTTGGTAAATTCCGCCGTATTTAAATATGTCATACGTTTGAAACAAACGTTATGCCTTTCGTTGAAATAAAACCTTCTCTCAGTGTGTATACCAATTGTTTTTGCATTGTTTTTTTTAGATATTTTTAGTGGTTTTTACATAATATGCATATTATGCCACTTCTTGCTTTTTATAAAGTCAAACCACACGCGAAGTAAGCAAATGATTATCTAACGAGAATAAAGACAATGCTCTCATCCAAAATATCCGCCAAATCCTTTTTGAAATCGCTGTTCCAGCTCGAAAAGAAACAGCTTAAAGACGTTTTTATACTACCTTTATCGTACACTCTTAGAAAAGACCTGGTATTTGCAATGAAAATTTAGTTCCCAGAACCAATTTTATTAGTGAAAATAGGCACAACAAAAAAATATGTTGTGGGAACTAATACAAATTTGTTTTTACAGTTTGTTGTCGGAACAGCCAATTTTGGTAGCTCCAACCAACAAGTTTAAGTGCATCGAAATTAGTTTTTTTTTTCATACAAATAATTGATATTTAATGCAATCACATTAGTCTGTCATTTTAGCAGCGTCTAAGTTGTAACAACTGCACTTGCTATTTATCGCAACAAACATTGTATCATGCAGGAATTTATTTTTTAATTGAAATTACATGAAAAAAGGTACATTTAAGGAATTTAATAGTTGATATAATATAAATTTGTTTTGTACTGTTACTAAGTTATATTTAATATTAAATGCTTGCATTAGTAGCAACAACAAATTGGTATTATTCCACAGTACATACCTGCTTAGTAAATATAACACTTTTTGTGTAAATATTATAAAAAATACACTCTTAGAAAAGACCTGGTATTTGTAACTAACTTATTATCGTTGGGGTAAAACTGTTGCAGAAAATAACATTTTTTGTTTTTTGTAATCAGTACCTTTATATGTGTAACTGCTTGCATCATTACCTGAAAAGATTTAGTTTTGTTGTGTAGTATTATTTACTGCAAAAAGGCGATTAAGTTATTTTAACTGAAACTTTGTGTTGGCTAGAAGTATTGACAACATTATCTCAAAAAAATCATTTCGGCGGTAAAATGTTTTTGTTGGACCAAATATTTAAGTAACATTCTCAACTGACTGAAATTAGTCCGTGGAACTAACGGTTCGGTTGTATAAACTATGCGTCACTTTTCATACAGCTAAGACACCAGCGGTGTGAAACAAAGTGTCAGTTGGGGATGTTGTCTCTGTAGGTTAATGCAACTGCAAACTTTGTGCATTTCGCGCGCGATTTGTCCAGCCCGGCGCGTGCTTTACTTTTAACCTGTAAACAAACGGTGTTGCACGGCGTCCAGACGGTGGTGTTTGTTGTTTTGTATTTGTGTATCAGCTCGTGTGTTGTGTATATTTTAGGTAAGAAACTAGTTTATTACAATTAGTCATTTGCCCCTGTAAATTCAGTGGCGACATAATTTTTAACTATTCATATATATAAGAATATATTCTTATGTGTTGGTTACTTATAGATATCTCGAACAAATAATATGGATAAGCGGACTGAAGTACCTAGCAGATTTATTAGGAACATGGGGTTTACCTGAATTGGTTCCAGTTTTTAAAGGTTAGGTATTATTATTGCACTCCTTTAATTACACTATTGTAGTTTTGGGGTCCGAAAAAAAATTCAAAAATGTGAAAATGCCATACCGACTGAAAATGGCCTCCTGAATCCAATGGTGCCCACCAAAAGTCTCCATCACGTCGGAATTTCGAATTCTTACCCCTGTTATCATGCAAGTATGTTACGTTGTACCTAAGAATCATTGTTAAGTTGTTAAACAAAGGCTTGCACTTCACGTAAACATCACGGTTTATTGAAAAAGTATAGTCAACTTTCATCTTAATGTACCTATCTGTGTATATTTACCAAAGAATCGTTTTTGTTTTATTGTTAAAATATTTATAAATGTTTTCTTATAGTAATTATTAATTTTTGTTATAATGTTTAAACCAAAATTTGGTGTTTTCAGTTATATTGTTATTTTTTAATTTATAATAAATATTTATAAAACGAACGGGCATGAATTTCCTTTCTCTATTTTTTATAATATTTACACAAAAAGTGTTATATTTACTAAGCAGGTATGTACTGTGGAATAATACCAATTTGTTGTTGCTACTAATGCAAGCATTTAATATTAAATATAACTTAGTTACAATACAAAACAAATTTATATTATATCAACTATTAAATTCTTTAAATGTACCTTCTTTCATGTAATTTCAATTACAAAATAAATTCCTGCATGATACAATGTTTGTTGCGATAAATAGCAAGTGCAGTTGTTACAACTTAGACGCTGCTAAAATGACAGACTAATGTGATTGCATTAAATATCAATTATTTGTATGAAAAAAAAACTAATTTCGATGCACTTAAACTTGTTGGTTGGAGCTACCAATATTGGCTGTTCCGACAACAAACTGTAAAAACAAATTTGTATTAGTTCCCACAACATATTTTTTTGTTGTGCCTATTTTCACTAATAAAATTGGTTCTGGGAACTAAATTTTCATTGCAAATACCAGGTCTTTTCTAAGAGTGTAGAGAAAGGAAATTCATGTTTTATAAATATTTATTATAAATTAAAAAATAACAATATAACTGAAAATTTTGGTTTTGGTTTGGTTTAAACATTATAACAAAAATTAATAATTAGAAAACATTTATAAATATTTTAACAATAAATCAAAAACGATTATTTGGTAAATATACATAGATAGGTACATTAAGATGAAAGTTGACTATACTTCTTCAGTAAACCGTGATGTTTACGTGAAGTGCAAGCCTTTGTTTAACAACTTAACAATGATTCTTAGGTACAACGTAACATACTTGCATGATAACAGGGGATAAATTTTGAGTGTGAGTGCCTATAGTATAGGCCCTATACCAAAAATGCGACTTGAGCTGTAACAAAACAAAACAAAAAAATTCTCGTAATTCCGACGTGATGGAGACTTTTGGTGGGCACCATTGGATTCAGGAGGCCATT